TTGATTTAATTATGTTATATATTTATAATTTTGATTTACTTATATATGTATTGTCTTTAGTTATCGCAAGTAGTAAAAATTTAAATAAAAGAGCTGATCCAAAGCATCCCAAACGTCGGCCATATTCATTAATTGTAAACAAGTAGGAGTCGGTTTTTCACTTTGGATACGGAATCCTAAAAATAACATCACACGATTCTTAGCAGTTAGGATAAGCGCATACCTAAGCCGAGAATACACGACATAAAATACCTTTTTATTTAAATACGATTAAAGCTCACATCTTATATTAGATTTTTATGTATTGTACTCTATTAAGTATATGTTAATAAGAATCGCATCAAAAGTGGTTCTGAATAAATTAAAGTCAATCGCACTATAAATATTGAGTAGACAGCGCGACGCTGGCTTACCAAAGTTGGCTACATCCGTTTGCGAGTAGAGTTTTTTTTTACATTATCGATTCGCCAATATTCAATAAAATAATATATTACTTGTTGGGAGAGTTGTATGCAAGGTTGTAAGGTTAAAATTACATATAGACGACAAACAAAAACAGTTGATACAAGACAGACAAGACCTATGTGAAAAAAATGTAAATAGAAAAAGTGAGATTTATTTTATAGAAAAAGAGTAACGTGCAAAACAAAGGACTGACGCGTATATAATAACTTATCTTATTGAAGAGTTAAGATTAAGAATTTTCCATTCAGATATTCGCCAAAATATATGGTTCGCTATTTTCCTTACAATTTCTTAATAAATGGTATTGATTTTTAATTAAAAGGCAAAAAATGTCGAAAGCGCAATTGCGGGGTGTGAGACTCGGTCTTTGCTCACCCTTCTGAACGACAGAGGAGGGAGGCCATTGACTTACCAAAACTCTGAAAGCCCATCTACATGCTGCACAGTAGTTATATCTATTATACAGTTAGTCTTTGCTCGGGGATATCCCCTTTTCCACCCTGATAAAGATCTTTAACGCCCTGTCATAACTAACTAGAGCCGCGCAAGATTACGACGACGCACTCTCTCAGAATGGACCCCGGTTCGTTCACCCGGGACCGGTCAAATCAGCCCTCTTATGGGACTAGTGCTTATTACTAGTTAGTATTTATTTTGAGATATTCTATATCTCAAAATCCTTTAGATCAACGTAATCTATCTAATTTATTTAGGTATTTAGTTTTACATAGTACCTAATACAAGATACTTAAATAATAAGTCAAGAAGAAATAAAAAGAGGGTAGTATCCCTATACTTAGTAATATTTACAATATACTTCTAAGTTTCTTAAGTCTTCTTAGTATTTTCTTGATAATATGCAAAGTCATGAGGGCGGTCGATGCGTTCTTGAACTTGAAATAATTAAAGGAGTCTTGTCGATACTTATGGAATTTACATCTGTTTGACGATAAAAAACATCGTATGCAAATTCAGGGCATTAACCTTTTCCTTTTTTTACTGCTACTCAAATACATATGAAATATATTGGAGAGGGTATATTGTAAATTTACTTCTGCAAGAAATATTTTTAAACTCCTGATTAAAAGATTTAACTACATGTATTGATAATTGTTTTCCTAATCTTTGCACTATGGATGACCATTACTTAAGTCTAAACGTTACGGGATCCCAATTATTTTTATATTTCATTCTCGGCAATCGTTTTTATTTACTAGTTGTTGTTGTTTAAAGGAAATGTAGACGAATAGCCATAATTTATCAATATTATATTTTTCTTTTATTATTATTTTTTTTAATCTGTTGGTATTTGTCTGGAAATCTGGATATTAAATAGCTGGTAGGAAAATCGTCACAAACCACCGTCCACAGATAAAAGAGTCGTCAAGTTTATTCGCGTTTCGGTTTTAGTCTGTGGATTTCCTAATATCCAAAGCTAAAATGAGTCGACAGCTCATTTCATTTAAATGGCGTGATGCGCCGACATATTTTGTATAACCTGTTGTATTAAAAAAAAAAAACAAAATTCCACAGACCGACCCGAGACGCGATTACTTTTCACGCATTTTTATATGTGGACAGTGGTTCGTGGACGCGGACTGAATTAATATACCTACCACATATTTAATATCCAGATTTTTCAGAAGACCAATAACGATTAGAAAAATTGGTTTTCCAATTGAACTCCTGAAAATTGAGCCCAGGGCCCGTCAAAATCGTTATGTGTACCCAAAAACAAGATCTAAGATTACGTTTTAAAACGTTAACACACACTTACGTCAAATTTTTAATATTAGCTACAGCGAAAGTGCCAGTATCGCACGATTTATAACACGACTTACCCATAAGTTCCTTATGAAAAAATCTATTAAGAGTAATATGTCGAGCTTGATATACGTGAGTTTAGCGACCTTGTAACAGTCGCTGATTAGACTTGATCTGGTAACTCAAGAGTGGCGCATACCTCGTTCATAATATGTTATATGAGTGGGTGTAAGCTTTTTACACATCCATATCAAGAGGTATGAAAATTGCCTTCCTCGCGTTAAGCGTTCTTTTTCGTATTCTTATACGTAAGTATGTGATTTATTCTATCCATTTACCTTGTTTCATAGGTAACATAAAATATAAATTTGAAATAACAGCAACGTCTTAAAGCTAAGAAAGGTAATATTTTTCAAGTTACGTACGACGTAGCTGATAAGCAATCAACAACTTAAATTAAAACATAACGCTACACATGTGATTATTGTAATCGATATACGATTTTATTTATACATAGAATAAAAAAGTTGTCACATGGTCAGGAGGAGGACACCTGCTTTATAATATCTCAAGTAGCGCTATCGACCTATTTTGGCTTTGGATATTCGGAAACACACAGACTAAAGCCGAAACACGATTACACTTCCCGGTTTTTTCATCTGAGGACGGTAGTTCGTGACTCGGACGAAATTTCCTATCCCCCCATTGTTTCAGATAAATTGTAATTGATTAAAAACATTTTGAACCCGTCGTGAATTGAACGCACGGCACCTCTAACTATATTCTTGGATAGTAATTAACAATGTATGCTAAGTAATCACTTAATCACAGTTACTTAGAGTGATCGTAGAACAGTACGTGTCGAAATGTTGAAAACGTGGAAGGGACGTCGAAAAATTTTTAAAACTGTAACAAAAAGTAATTTGAAACGTGTGGACTCTTCAAAGACATATTGATTATCTCTTTATAATCACGTACAAGTTTACGCGTACAGTACGCAGTAACAATCGAATATCTTAATACTTAGTCAAAAATATAAATTGTGACATAAGCCTAGATATGTCATATAGTTTTGGTGTTTCGACCTGTAACTACTGTTAAAGGAAAGATTTATAATTAACTTCAAGGTATGTAAAAAATATATCAATTGTCTATACTAATAATACCTATGTTACTTTTCCTCAAACGCCAAGTAGGATTCTATTAGATGTAGTAAATGCTAGTGTTATATTAATTTAAACAATTATATATATTAGACCATATAACAAGAATAGTTTAAGTGATTCGCGAATTCAGGATTTCCACAAGCGGAATTCCCAACAAAATTGTTAACGACTAATTCATTTTCAAGTCTATAATTGGCTTCTAGACGTTCCTTATGAGATATTATTCGCATGAGATCCGGAAAGTCTTATTTACTTTAAGTTAAATATCGTCTAAGATGCTGCGGTTGATATGACGCGACATTTTTTCGCACCATTATGATTTTCCACCACGTAATCGGAATAGTGGAGGATGTAATTTTTCCTTTTTTATGATAATTCTGTTTTAACAACCGTACAGTAAACTAACTTGAGCTTTGAATCGGTATTTTAAGTTGTTTCAAAGTGCAAAACATCTTTTGAGCATTTAAATAAAACACTAACGGTTGGAGACCGGATATATTTTAGTTGAAATTGTTTGAAAATTATTTTTAAGTACAGCCCGACGTTTCGGATGCTTTGCAGGAGCCGTGGTTACGGGGATACTAAAATATATCGCGTTTTAAACCGTTAAAGTGTTTTATTTAAATTTTAACTAGAGACGGTATCTTTTGAGCAGTTTTAAAACTCAAGAATTTTAATGCCATATCCTGAATGTTATTCTAATAACATTGGCGAAGACTTATACACAGGGTAATGTTAGTCTAGATATGCCTACTGTATGTTTTTGTTATAGACTAACTTATTAAAAAACATATGCGATCATTGTTAACATGTTACAAATACAGAACGTATGTATTTTTTAATTTGTTCTCAATAAACTATTTGGCTATTCAAGCAAAAAATAAGCTTTTTATCTTTTTCATACAAGTTATTTTTAATATATCGTCTCTGTCTCTATAACTTACCTATGCTATACTGTATCGCGGTCACATCAAATTGACGAATCACATTCTTTGCATAATTTAGTGTCGTTTCGTTTCTAGGGCTAAAGGTTAGGAATCTGGAATTTACTTAAGCCTTTTCCCATCACTTTATGGATATCGTACATTAATAATACATTAATATATGATGAATTTCGATTATACTTTTTGAAGTTAGTTATATATTTTTATAAATAAGTTGTAACCAAACCACCAAACCAAATTATAGCATTGATATTTCCTGATGACGTACGGATTCTAGGAGATTGTGTCACAATTCCAAGCATTATCTCTTAATAAATTTCCCACGACAATAACAATACAAGGTGTAAACAACGTTTTGCTTAAGGATTCGATCAGTGCAGTTCTAAACATAACATTTATTATGTTATCGAAATCCTTTCGCTGTATAGTTATTTGACATTTTTGTTACATAATAAAGTTCAGGGTCACATAGCAGCGTACATGGAGTAGTTCCGCAGTTCAACTCGACTACCGAACGGGGAGTGTCTACGTTTATAACTAGGAGCCAGCATCCGGGCACAAGGATCAAGTTACCGAGGAGGATTGCCTGCGAATGTCAAGGAACCCTCTGCGTCACGCTCGCCGACTGCTATTAGTGATCAACTGATCAGTCGCAGTCGAAATGTCTGCGCGTACGCCTGCCTTACATTATAGCTGCTGTGTTGTCTTCTTACTAATCATAGTTCACACGCGTAAGTGAAACGAACTTTATTCTACAATTCAATTTGAGCATATCCGCTTCAAATGGTTGGAGCTTTCTAAATATTTTTTTTCTACAGATGGAGACAAATTTATATGCAGCAGAGATGGATTGCTCGCCGATTATGAGTCGGATTGTGAAGAATATGTGCGGTGTTCATCAGGAAAAGTGAAAGGACGCTATTCGTGTCCATCGGGAAGAGTTTTCAGTGAGGTGGCCGGTGCGTGCATCTTGAGCCCGAGCCGCGCCTGCACGCAACGTATCTGCGCGCCTGGAGAATCCTTCGCCTACACAACCCCAACGACTGCCTGCCGCCACTATTATCGCTGCGAAAATGGTACCGTGACAGATCACACTTGTCCGAGTGGCTCTTGGTTCGACATGGACAGACAAGCTTGCTCCCGAGGAGCCGGCACTTGCTACGAACCTTTATGCGCTGGGTTACCAGATGGAAAATATCCGGATTCGTCGAGCGAATGCCGCCGTATATTACATTGTCGTGGAGCGGAAGTACGGGCCGTGGAGTCCTGTAACGGTGTGTGTACGAACAACTGTCCGACGGCGAGATCTACCGCTATTCCTATACCGGTAGGCGACGCAGACTTTTGTTCTGATGAAACGTGCGCTTCGTTATGCCAGAACGCAGAAGACGGCGCCTACGCTGATCGATCTACCGGTTGTCGTGAATACTTCGTCTGCAAAGAACATCGTGTTATCAGCCGCGGTGTGTGTGAACCGGGTTTCTTATTTACCGGTACCGGTTGCGAAACAGCCGAGTGGAATTATTGTCCACCTCCAGCACGCAGTCCTTGCTTCAATCGGCAAGATGGTCGGTATAGAGATTGGAAAACGTGCTCGTCGTGGTATGATTGCCGGCGCGGCAGAGTTGTATCACGAGGTGTATGTGAAGCTGGAAGAGTTTTTGATGGTCTTAACTGCGTATCTGAAAAAAGGTTTCATTGCGAGGGACCCGAAATATCTAAGCGTTGTAATGGAATGCCAAGCGGTACTTATCAACATCTCGATTCTAACTGCAGTCAATATTACCACTGTGAGGGACGCTTGCAATTTCTTTTTACCTGTCCTAATGGGGAAGTGTACGACGGCTCAAAATGTGTGTCTAGTTATCAATACGTGTGCCCTAATTTAGAAAGGGACTCCTGCTATGGGCGAGCTGACGGACGCTATCGCACGAAAGATGCCAGCTGTCGGGCTTTTTACGCTTGCATCAACGGTGAAAAAGCCATGTATGCTTGTCCCGTCGGTCAAGTATTTGACGGAAATGGATGTGTTCCAGAGCGTTTAGACCTGTGCCCTCATAAAGAATACTCGTGTGCTGGATTAAGCGATGGGTATCACGCTGAAGTGGATACAAACTGCCGCAGGTAAATTTTGCTCACTAAATATGATAAGATTAGGAATCTATATAAATTGAAAAGTAGATATAGATCACGGGAGGATGAGGACACTGTAGTAATCCGTAAGAGCGACAGGACGAAATGCTGTGAATGCACGACCAATCGTGGCATAGAATTTTTCTAATACATTTTTTTATTTATTTAAATAAATATCGTCTGTAATATCATGTAAAAATAATAATGTTTCAGACGTGATGATTAAGATAAAGATTTAAAACAGATGATTAATTTTTTTTATTAATTACAGATACTTCTTCTGCGAAGGTGGTGACAGATTATCGACAATGTCGTGTCTAGGGGGCAAAATATTTGACGGCCACGCGTGTGTGGATCCGGCACGTCACGTGTGCGGCAGCCCAAGACGGCCGCACGCCGACCACAGTGGAAGGCATTGCGAACAAAACGGCTTCTATGTCGTTCCCGGCAGCAAATGTAAAAAATATTACTTTTGTTTAAGTGGTCAAAAGACCCATTTAACGTGCCCCATGATGCAACTATTTAACGGGGACGTCTGCGTCCCTAACGAGGAATACGTTTGTCCCGATTGAAACCTGATGATCAACACGGGTCACCGCTAAACAGGTGTAAGTCAATGTTGTACCTGATTTTAAGACTGTGGACTTACTCACTTCACAGAATAACACTTTACAATTCAACTACCTCGAAATATGCAATAATACGCGCATTTTACTCATTATTTTATTGGCATAAACTTTAAGCAACCTAATATAGTTCGTTACAATAGGTATAATATAGTTAAGTTACAAACGCGTTAAGCTCAAGTAATAAAAAATATCTTTTAATAACATTAACATAATTTATTTATTAAGAAATATATCTTTAGTACAAATATTAAACAACAAAATTCATACAATTAGTTAAGACTAAAAAGTATAGACATTTATGAATCATTATGTTACAACTAGCACACCGATCGTTTACTTTTTCTTTGTTACATTTTAAACTACAAAAGACTAGTCACCCTCTAAAAAGTTTATTAGCACAATTTAAATGTTTGCGTTTGCCTATTTCGTAAATCACACATGTTTAATTTCAGTAAAATAGAAAGTGCAAAGCGACAGAATAAAATCGAACTTTAAAAAAAATACAGTAATAATACTCTGGTAGTTACGTATTTTCGAAATTTAACGAATAATCAATGTCTAATTAGTTTTTCAAAAACCTTCCGTGTTAGATACTCATTACGATTTTTTGCGTCAGACAGGTACTAAAACTGAATTGGTCCACTCCGGATGTAGGATTTTAAAATCACAATAATCATCTAAGTAACTTTAATTGAGTGTTACGTGTTAGACCAGCTTAAGAGAACAATTTTTAAGAAACTGTTTATTTAAATTGCTCAATACAATATACATTTTTAAATGTCTCAAAATAAAAGATTGTGGGATAAACATACTACAACAGTACAATGTGTTCGTCCTGCTGTTAAGTTAAGAATTGTTAAGACCACAAGTATTGATTGCCATGCGCAAGAGTCGAATGGAGATTTTATAATAATTTATTTATTTTTAGGATTACACTTTATTTTTTAATACATTGGGAATCATGAATATTGACAACACGTGTTTTATTCAACCCTGCATTTTGAAGAATGTTTCCGTTTACACCACCATTTTTTTTAATTAACCCTAAGGAGAAAGAGATCTTTCAAAATATGACATAATAGTCTCGATTAAATGCTAGAAAAAATAAAATAATTAAGTTTTAGTATATTATAAAATGTAAGACAATTTCATAGCTACATATAAAACAGAGGTATAAAATACACCTTCTAGTGCTATACCAAATCTATCAGTTTAGTTTTGCTCTTTCGCATACCTTAATTTAAGTATCACTTTTGGTTTAAACATACAATAAAGCGTCGTCTATACTTTACGCCAGTAGAAAACATTTAATTATCCTGCAATCTGCGTTTCAGATGCTTAGCAAAAAATAAATCAAGTAATATATAATTGGAGTTTTAATCCGTCGAACGTGTTTTATGTCGATACGACAAACAAGAAAAAGTGTATTTAATACTTCCATTATTTTGATATTGTCTTGCACAGTGTGAGGTACTTTACGTGCGCACTACGATCGTAAATATACGTGTCTCTCACGTTCACTTCAGAACATTACAAATTCAAAAGGGAAACTCGACATTAAAAACGGGAAAATATTAGGAAAAAAACTACGTTTAGTTAACATTTATAATTTACGAACTTATAATATTTCTGAGATACAAAAATAATATTTAAAGTTATAAATCTCTAGATAATTATACTTTCTCGTGCAGAGCACTTGAATAACCTATAAAAATACATTTATTTAAACTTGCAAATGAAAAATAGATACTTAAGACTGCAAAAAGCTTATAACATTATAGATATAATACATTACATACACTACTATAATCGGGGGCCTTAGCCAATCACAAAACGATGGCTGATTAAAAAAAATGTCTGTATCGAATATTTTCTCTTTTCGATCGATGATTTTATTGGCGGTGTATGTAAATCTCAAATAGAATTTCTAAGTTTGCTATCGTCTTGTAAATTACCTTGGCTAAGACCTCAGGATCTCATAACAATTTACTATCCTGAAAGATTCAGTCTTACATTATATCGGTAGATAAAAATTATATTGAAAACGTTCGTTGGACCATTACATTAAACATTACGATCAAAGAATAAATACCTATTCAAGAATGCAGAATAATACAGAGTTAAACCTTAATCCACTACCGTATCTTTTATACAATGACTAACCGAGGATTGACACATCCTTTTTAAAACTATAACTTGGCCATTATTACCTATTTGACCTTGAAGCGACTTTTAGTATTTTGGATAATGTGTAGGCGCAATATTGCAAAAAATATCGTCTATTACAAAACAAAAGAAGGTGAAATAATTTACTATGTGAAGTAAACATTATTTTAATGAATTAAACAATTTAATGACACATGTTTTGGTGTTCTCACACAAACATAGACCGCATCAATATATAACATATACAATAGCTAGGAGCCGCGTGTACTGTAGGGTTACCGTGACATCATATATCTGTGCATTGAAAAAAATAGGTAATAAGCATAAATCTTATATACAAAAATCAACATTTCCGGGAAACAATTTTTATTACTATAAATAATGAATATTAAAATAATAGCGTCGTTTTTAGAACTATTTTAGACTTGACATTTAATGTTAAATACGTATTGTGATACATAATGTTATGTAGAACTCGAGCAAATGATTACTTTTATCACTTTTTTACTTATGGTAACCCCGGAGAGGATACCCACGGATCGTCTTGTTGGTATTGAGGAACTTCAGACGGGCGATCGCTATTGATCACTGGTTCCTGGCTTTGGAGCTGGAGCTAGCAACACGCTGATATCCCAGACCTGATAAGGTAACACTAAAAAATTAGACCTAAGAATTTATATTTTAGTACAACTTCCTTATATAAGTTATGTACTTCATATTCTGTTACCCATGCTAAGTTCCAACAACACTATCAAAATAAAATAAATTCCATATCATAAACAAGATACATTGTCCTCAAAATAATTTTAGCTTAGGAAATTCATAGCAAAACAGACTCAAACCAATAGAATAGTTTTAGATAGATAGTTATTAACCTAGACAGAATTTAATATCCCGCGAACCTTTGCATGTTCCAGGCGTATCCCAAAATGTTTCAGAAAAAGTATAAATTGAAATATTATTTTTACACTTGTCACACCAGACAGAGTTGATAGGGACCGATCGTAAAAACCCGTCATGACTGATAAGACTAAAGAACACAAACATTTTTAATTAATGATTATTACTTTAAGGTTTATGCAATATTAACCGTAAGTGAAAAAACAAATATTTATGAAAATGTGAAAATAATAAGTTTAGACAGAGAATCGAGAAAAAATTCACACGTCAAATATATATCGCCCAAATAGCCTACTCTTCTTAGAAATTGGTTAAAAAGTACGTCGATAACGCCGATGTTTGATTAATATTTACGTAGCAACAGTGAATCACACATGAAAATTAAACGAGAATCCTTTGTTTGGCTTGCAAGGTCATATGCTGTGAAACACTTTTGTGTACATTATCAACACGATACGTTACAGTAGATAATTATTTCATCACAAGGGATCCTTGTTTTGAATATCGACAGAAAGATAAACGCTGTATTTTCAAGCGGAATTCCGCTATCGCTTTTGAGGCAAGATATACGTGGTTTACCACCAAATTTTAAACATAATAAATACTGTCATTGCTTTACGCTAGTAGTACACATCAAACTTTTAAAAAAATCTTTTCAACTACGACTTGACATTTCGGATGCTTCGAAGCAGCCGGACTCGTGCAGCTGTTAAAAATAATTTGTAAACAAGTTTACCTACTACATTTCGCGTTTTAAACCGCTAAAGTGTTTATTTAAATATACATATGGTTTTCTATATGTCATGTCTATAACTTACCTGCTTATAATAATTCCAAGGGGTTTGAACCCAAGATCCCTCGCCCTTAACGTAATTCCCGTTTCACTATTGACCCACAGAGGCCCCAACTATAGGCGGGCTTTATAAAATAATTTTCCTTAGAGCATATTATTCAACGGCATTAATAGAGTCTATATTTACCTTAATAACCCTATCCTTGCCAGCAGTACACATGCGACCCGTTGCTTCATCGACGTAAAGAGACGCCACCGCATGCTTCATATCGTGGAAGGACGCTAGCGATTCACGTCTGTAAATGAAAAAAAAAATATTACCCTCAACTTATTGATAAGAAAATAGAGTACAGAGTAACAATATTGCAGGTTGGAGGCTTGGCTATGTAAAACATTTCGCGTTTATTTATTGTATTAAAAGTTGTTAAGTATTGGGATGGTAATTGTGGAAAACAGCTTTTATTTTGTTTAAACGTGAAGCATAGCTAACCCTTTGTATATATATTTTAATTATGTTGTCAATAAAGATATATAATACAATATAAATAATAAGAAATATTTATTACACAGCAGACGCAACTACAACGAAACAAAATAATAAATATATACTTATAGAGTAAAACAGGCGGTCTTATCGCTATTAAGCGATCTCTTCCAGGCAACCCTTACGACAATAATGTAAAATAAATTAGGAAAATGTGCAGTAAGTGTGAAGAATAAAATATAAATAAATTTTAAGTATTCCTTAATAATAATTTATTAATATTAAATTTGAAAATTAAAATGGTTGTTTATATTAGTCAGAGATTTTTATTATGTTATGTAAAGGTTGTAGATATAACTTACGGTTCATGTCGCAGAGTGTCATAACAACCAGTACAGACTCGCTGCGGAAACTCAAATCCCATGATGGGTAGAGGCAAACGGTGTGGGGAACAAGCACCACAAACTGCCGCGCCACACCACCTACAATGGTGTTGTCGGAGACCTAAAAGCAACAAATACATACATTTTGAAAACATTATGTTATCTTACTGCACATGGCACTATATAATTCAATTCTCAACTCGAGCAACAGCACGGAATGCTGTGGATGCCGGTTCAAAAACTGCCTGTGTCTTAATTTTTTTTTCAATTTATATTCGATTACAATTTCTAAATAGATATAGATAGAGAAGTAAATAATTTATTTCTGTTTTTTTTCGTATCTATGTTTTAATATCTCAAAACGTTCCAATGGCTAATCAATCTCCATTGTGTTAAGCACTGAAAGACCTAAGTTCAAATGCCACATATAAGAGTATCAGGTATGTGTCTGATAATCTTGGAATCAAATCAAAAAAGCTTAAAGTTGTTGACCAATAATTGAATGTCCACTAACCGAGTTGTTTCTTCTCCATCATGGCACGCACGTTCCATATAAATGGCGCACGGCATAGCTGGCAGACGTCCGACTCGCGCCACGCAGGCGTTTCCTTGCGCGTCACTCCCATTTCCCACACACCAAGCGCACCATCTTCACCACTCGACAACAGCCTCTGACACCCGCCGACATACCACAGACCAGTTACCTTGTTACTGCAGGATTGTATGCACTTTATAGGATTTTTATAAGATAAGGTATCATATTACAGTAATACAGACATAAATATAGTAACGAAATTACTTTTGAAATAATAAAAGAGGCTGGTTGAGATGAGATTAGGATGTTTCAATTACTTAAGAGCAAGATATGATGATACAATTTGTTATGATCTGTGAAATTTTCAACAGTTTAATGTACTGTACACTGTATAATGGGCTCAGCCTGAGAAAAGTCCTAGTAAACATTGTTTTAATGGTCAAATAATATTATTGGTGAACAAACAATCAACAGCGAAATACAACGACAGTAAATTAATACATAGTAAAAGCTATGTATAAAATAGAGCTTACTCTAGTTAGTTAGCTATTTAGGCTTAGGCGACATAAAGATGATGAAAAACTATTATAATCCACATTCTAAAGTTGTTCATTTGTTATATGAAAGAACAGGATTTGCCAATTAAATAAAAGTATAGTATGCCGTAATCATACCTGTGTCCTTGAAGTTCATAGGCAGTACCTTTCTGCCCACCTATATCCCAAACAATTATTGTTTGATCAAATGAACCACTGAACAGTAATTGCGGTATAGCTGCCCAGTTTAGTACTCTCACAGATCTGAAAATAAGATCATATATAAAAGTTCTAATACTAATTAGGTATTAGATAGATAGGTTAGCTGAGTTATATAACATTGAAGAGGGAGAATAGGCAATTTAGCAGGGTCAGCAGTTTATGTGGGCTGATCTCTGGAACTTCAATTGTTGCAATAGAAAAGGAATGTTCAGCAAATAAATATATTTCTTATCTGTCGTATTAAATAAAATTACAGTTAATATATTCATTACAAATTGATTTTGATAAAAAAAATTATTGACTTGAACCTAAGTTCCATGTTGTTGTTTTTACCAATTGAACTACCATGTTCTTGTTGATTTTTTCAACTTATTGATACATCTCGTGTTTGTTCACATTTAATAATTTACTAAGTTGTTTCCTTACCCAGTATGTCCTTTTAATGTAGTGACTAGGGTAGAACCATTATTGTCCAATTTTAACATGGTTATTTGTCCACTATAGTCACCAACAAAAGCATACTTCGATTGTGAGTCAAATCTATTTAATGAATTAAAGAAAGTATTTATATTTTTTAAAAGGTTTACATTTCATACTTTACTGTTTGTAAATAAAAACAAAAGAAGTTGGACTACCCCACCAGACAGGCTTCCCAACCCTATTCTATTATGTTATGATCATTGTAGGGATTATTTATCCCAAGGGGTAAGCATCCCTTAAAAGTAGAAGAATGAGGTAAATATAGACAAACCAATTAAGACACAGTTTTGCTATGACACATTATTTAACAAATACTTAAAAGGATACTGTAATGCTGTACACCATGCTTCAAAAGAGTAGCCACCAATCCTACGACCTGTTTCACTGCAGTGATACGAGAACATTTTGTCTCGACTTACAGATAAAACCCATTCACAGCTCAGAGAAAAAACTACTGCTGTCACTCGAGCTGTATGTGCTAGGTATTCTCGTGTCTACAACATTTAATCAGTTTATTGTAGTGTTCCAAAAATAAGCAATCCAATTTATATTTTATGTAATATTACTGCACAATTAGGAAGCCAACTACCTGAATGGTTACTGTATATGATATTTATGACACACTTACAGGATTAATTCTGTTGCAATCTGACGCTAGTGTAAATTCTGAGATGGTTCCATTTTCTTGTCCAATAAATAACTGTCTAGTCTCTGGAGTATAGAACATTGATGTACACCCTGACGGCATGTACTGACAAATACTTGGCCAGTACTGTCCAGAATCTCGTTTCAGCCATACCCGTACAGTCCTTGGTGAGAAACATTATTACGTAAAAAGATATTCAAAACAAAAATAATAAAAGATTACCATGTCAATTAGTCATTGTGGGTTTAATTTGTACAATACGGCCCATATAGACAGTTAAAACTTAATTCAAAGATTGAGTTTTATCTAAAAGTAAATCTAACGACAATTGTAAATTTTTGTGGCTAATTACGTTCGTAATTTAAATACATACTTATCGTCACAAACGCTAATTACTCCGTCCTCCCCAGGTATCACTACGGCAGCATTAACATCATCAGTACAACCCTCTAATTTGCTTAACAGCGCAGGTTTTTTAGTAGTGGAAAATCTGTCATTAGGAGTTCTTGGAGCAGGCTTAATTTCAGCAGCCATATTCCTATATTTATCGTGAATAAATTTTTGTAACTATTTTCTTACGATAAGAAAGAATAACGTAATTTTAGATGATATTTTAACTACACGAAAAACGTCAAAATACTTTTGACAGCACTTTGACAGTCCAACGAAAATATAATTAAGTAAAGTATAGTAATTGCAAGTGGAGAGCGTTCAGAAATTGAAACAGAGTCTTAATTAATAAATTGTGTAAGGCCACACGTTCACGGCCATCGTTCTGTTCATATAATTTATTGTCTTTCGGACTGTTCAGCCTGACAGATAATGATATGCTGAGTCTTAATTGTAAGCAAAACACCGTACAATTATTATATTTTTGACATAGTGATTCTAAGAAAATGAACATATAATGATAATGATAATTACTTTTAATTTTCTTTGTAATTTAAAAAGCAACTTTATAAATAACATTAACAAACTTTACAAATAACAATTTTCTAATTTTACAATTTTATTTGTTAACTATTTTGGCATAAGCGAAAAATCAACTTTATAGTTTATTTTGTCAAAATTTGATCAAAATAGTTAACAAATAAAATTTATAAATAAAGAGTACCAACCGATTTAAAAGTTTAACATGCGTTTTATTTTGTATGAAATGTACAAAAAGATGATATTATAGACGTTTACTCCTATGGTAAAACATGAAAGTATACTATGTTTATAAACGCAAAGTATTTTAGTGACTAAGAAAAGTAAACTCTATCTTGTTTCATGAAAGTATAGTTTACATAATAATGTATAATATATATATTTCTAACACAGTACTCAATCTAGTTGACCTCCGAATGACATTGCGTTTGACAGTATCGAAGTACATTTTCACATTGCGATTTTTTGCAAACATAAATGTTGCCAGTAGTTCTCTTTTTCCATAAATTCAAAGAAATTTAAACTTTAGTAGTTCATGAATATTAGTAATAATGCATAAGTAATATTGATGAGAATGGATGAAGGGTATTTCCAAATTTACAAACAAAATTAAACAAGTACAAAAATGTATTTTGACAAATAGTCTTTTATTTCATTTGTTTTAATATTGTTTATGTAAATACTTAAGTAATTTAAGTTACAAATAACATTTATAATTAAATAATTAGCAAAATACGTCTTATAATGAGACCATTAAGTCGTAGAGCTAGGCCGGATTGCCGGGGAATTTATAGCATAACTGCATTCTGGTATCCCTAACATCTGATTTTCGCAACTTTATCAATTTTTATCTTTTACAAAATTCGATCCACGTTTATCTAATAAGAACCAAATCAGTCGTTCCCAGTGACGAACAGTATTAACATGGCTCATGCTGTAAGGAAATTAACTGCCCACGTGTTAAAAACTAATAATGTGGAGTCGATTATTGGAAACACTGCTGTGAGAGCAAATAGGTAGGTAAGGGACCGGCTTTTCCGATATTTCCTTACGTAACAAAATATACCGGTGTAGTATTTTTAGTGTCGAGTGCTTTTTCTGAAAAAAAAATGTGTTAGTTAAACTTATTCTAATTATGTATGTATAATTGTTATTCGCATTTTGCCTAGTATAAAAAAATTACAAAATTCTAAAAGTATTTATTTTTTAGCACATGGTGGGGAAATGTAGAAATGGGCCCACCTGATGTTATCCTAGGTATTACAGAAGCCTATAAGAGGGATACAAACCCTAAGAAAGTAAACCTTGGTGTTGGTGCCTACCGTGATGATAATGGAAATCCATTTGTTCTGCCATCAGTCAGAAAGGTTGGAATATATATATTTTTTTTAATTTATAATCCCTACAAATTATACATACAATAACTAAACGTGAGACTTTTTAGTGGGATGTTCCTTAAAAACTTAAATATATAATTTATATGAAATATTACAAATTTACAATACCATTATTATTGTCTTTATTATGTTTCATTGAATATATTTTTTTTAATTGAATGTTATAGAAAATTTTAAAGAATTATACCAAGATATATAATTTATGCTTATCTGTATTTTAGAGCATTTAACCTTATAATATGTTATTCAATACAGGCTGAGGAAATTATCCACAAGAAAGGTTTAAATCATGAATATGCCCCTATTGGTGGTGAAGCTTCCTACACCGATGCTGTTGCAAAACTCGCTTTTGGAGAGAACAGCCCAGTTCTAAAGAATAAGACAAATGTCACTGTTCAAGTTAGTATTGTGTTTGTTTATAAAACTAAATAATATTGAAAAATACATAAAAAGGAACTCTCAAGTTATAATACTTTCAAGTAGGATGACTTATATAGCTTATTTACTTCCTATACAATATTAATTTTATCTCCAATGGAAAGTACTTGACATTGCTAGATATACGGTCCAAGGTCCATCAATAGCTGATCTGTGTGAGTTTCTGGAAAGCAGCCAAAAGCAGATAAACAATACTTTGTTATGGACATGTTATTATTATTTAGGTTAAAGTGTAAGGACACTCAGTTGGCACAGTTAAGAGATCAATAAATACCTTCTAATATATAATATTATTACCTCATTGTACTGTTGAAAATGTGTATGAAATAGTTTAATATCTCAGTCTAGTTTAGTTGTTTTTGTTTGAGCGAAAATGATGTTTTTTAGACGCTGTCCGGCACTGGAGCTTTACGACTTGGTCTTGAATTCATTACAAAACATTATGCTAAAAACAAAGAAATCTGGATGCCGACACCGACGTGGGGCAACCACCCGCAAATTTGTAACACCCTCAATTTGTCCCACAAGAAGTACCGCTACTACGACCCCAAAACGCACGGTTTCGACCTTCAAGGCGCCATTGAAGATATATCGGTAAGTGCATATTTACAAATATATCAACATCAACTATAATGTCAACAAATACTTAAGAATGTGAAACTTTATCATTTTCACATTATTGCATACATATAATAGGAAATTAGTTATCATACTAATGAACAACAGTTGTTTAAAGTTATTATTTTTTATGTTCACAATTACCCATTTGAGTGTTTAGCAAATGCACGATTAAGTGATTCTCCTACGGGAGAACCACTAATAATGAGCAAATAGAGTATTCGTTATTTTACTGTATTAAATCCATGTGTTAATTTTTATTTATAACCGTTACCATTAAAAAATACCTCCACTAATTTCATAACTACATTTTGTATAAGATATTGTATTGCTTTTATTGACTTATTTTATAGCTTAGTTCTATATCTATGAACAATAGACTTGCCATATATAATCATTTAAGCAATATTAATCATAAACGATAAGTATCACGCGGTTTGTAAGTGTTACAGATAAGTCGGTAGTCTGTACGTAATATGTATAACCGCTTAACAAAAGGTCATTGCGTCATTAAGACAATGTCATGGGTGTGTGACAGACAATAAGATGTGATAAGAGATATCTATTATTACATATTTTTATCATTCATGGAAATCTATTGTTCTCTATGACAACCTGCTTGTTGTACAACTGATGTACTAATGTAATATTTTAAACTAAAGTAACTTAAGTAGTGTCTATAGTTTACTCGAGTAGTACACATTTAAATAAAACACTTTAACGGTTTAAATCCGAAACGTCGGGCCGAAGTTAAAGATCATTTTCAAATAAGTTTAACTAATATATCGCGTTTTAAACCGTTAAAGTGTTTTATCTAAAGTAACTTTAAAAATCTATTTAATAGTAACTTGTTATGTATATTTTAGAAAATTCCAGAAGGCTCAATTATCTTGCTCCATGCTTGCGCCCACAACCCAACCGGTGTAGACCCTAAACCGGCCGATTGGGAAAAGCTTTCACATGTAAGTAATAATACGTGCGTGATTTGTAATTTTAATAGCAAATCAACGCCATCTATCGATATAATTTAAAGAAAAAAAAGATCGTCTCGCCCATTCTCCGCTACTAGAAGTTTTTAATCTACCCACATATAGATAATATTATTGGGTTTTTGAATTTAATATTATTTGATATTTCGTAAAAAATATTTACTTTTTAAGAAAGTTTACCCCTAATTTGTGATAGGGATAGAAATTATAAAATAATAATAATTTGCTTCCTTCAAGGTCATCAAAGAGCGTAAGCTATACCCATTCTTCGATATGGCGTACCAAGGATTCGCTACAGGTGACGTCGACGGAGATGCTTTCGCAGTTCGACACTTCGTAAAGGAGGGTCATCAGGTTACACTGGCTCAGAGCTTCGCCAAGAACATGGGTAAAATTACATAACGTTATTTACACTATTAAATTGTCAGTTTGCGCATGCGCATTAGTTAGTTGGTACAGTTAGTACCAGATATTGCTTTTGCTTTTTTTTTTTAATATTGACCAGTTTCATATCTCGACCCTACCTTATCAATTCAAACTTAATAAACATGTTTTTGTTGCAATAGTTCATTGAAATAAATAAGTCTCAACTCTGACCTTTTTAAATTGACAAGCAACATTTTTTTATTTGTTGTTTATATCAATTTCAGGGCTGTACGGTGAGCGTGCGGGGGCATTAACATTCCTCTGTGGAGATGAGGGAAGTGCAGCTAAAGTGATGTCGCAGGTCAAGATCATGATCCGCGTGATGTACTCAAACCCTCCTCTTTACGGTGCACGTCTAGTACAGGAAATTCTTAACACCCCGGAACTCAAGAAACAATGGTTAGTTTCTATAACTATGTACATGACTCTATAACAAGTTTCTTTTTACTTTATAACAATTTATGCAAAGTCAGGAATTCTGTGAATGGAAGCCCTGATTTTACGATTAAAATACCAAATATAGTTTTTAGAAAAAATAAAAATTCATTTTAAGTTGAAAAATTTTTCGAAACATAGTCATAGTTCAGTTCGGTTTTAAAGTAATCTTCACCTCTATGGATACGGTTTTCAGGCTGGCAGATGTCAAGTCAATGGCTGACCGTATTATTTCTATGCGCACAAAGCTCCGCGCTGGTATTGAAGGAGCCGGAAACAAGCAACCTTGGCAGCATATCACCGATCAAATTGGAATGTTCTGCTACACTGGCCTAAAACCCGAACAGGTAATTAATTTAAAATCAATATTTACTCACACTCATCTCTTCGAGATATTAGGCCAGTTCATTTATAAAGTATTCTTCGAAGCCAAAATCAGAAGATAGTGGTGACGAGACGTCGAAAAACTTTTCTCACAGTGGAATCATTTGTACATAAGAGCGGCTATTTGCCAGAAGACTATGATAGTACTCTGTAGTTTATGCGAGTTGAAACACTTTTAAGGGTTTAAAACCGTCTCCAGTCCTACCATGACCATAGCTGGTGCAAATCAACCGGGCCGTAGATAAGTTGAAAGTAAAGTAATCTATTTTGCGTTTTAAACCGTTAAAAGTAATTTATATCCAATTTATATATGGTACAGTAGCAAGCTCGATGTTTTAGGTGGAGCGACTGACCAAAGAGTTCCACATCTATCTGACGAAAGACGGCCGTATTTCTGTTGCCGGCATCTCGTCGAAAAACGTGGACTACGTCGCCGAAGCAATGCATAAGGTCACCTCTTAGACTTAAGTACAACTACTGCCATAAGTTTAAATGTTGTATTTCACTCTACTGTACCAGATGAATGCAGTATTTTGCGCACTAGCCTTTATATTATAAATTTACACTAGATATTGTTTAATTGAGTTTTGTTTTTAATCCTTTTTAGATAATTAATAAAAGTATGACTTTTAGCTACATTTTTCATTCCCCTCCCACAATGAAAGAAGCGAATTAATTAAAACTGTTTATTTAAAAATAAGTAGATAAAATAAACTCGATGCGAAAAACACGAAATTCTATTAACATGTTTGCAGTGATTTCTAGACGAAACTAATGACGCTCTATTTACAGCCGACAAACAAAATCCTTATGTATTTCAAATGATCGATGCAGGTCAATAGTTAACATTGCCGAACCTAATTAAGAAAAATACATTTAAAGTATAAGGACACCTTTGGTGTCGCGTAACCTAAGTAAACTATGTTTGGAACACATTATTTCGCCACAATCGATTTGTTGTGGTAACAATCTTAATCTTATTCACCTGCATCCATGTACCAAAATGTAAAACTATAACATTCTGCTACTCTATGCTAGTGTACATACATACACACACATCCGAAATGTGTTTATAATAAAATTATGACTATTATAATACACAATATCCTAACTCAGTGATATATCGATAAAACAATATTTACAAAAATTTCATTAAATTTATTAATGGCACTGGTCATGCACATTATATTTCCGTTGTTATGTACCATATATATGGGCAACAGATGATTGTCTATTTGCACTGTAGACGCGGAAAGATTTCTCAGTTAAATTTTAATACTGTTGTGGAAGAGTTATTTAAATGAAGACCACCCTTACTTCTATACGCATTTAGCTCCCACCCCGTTAGATGCCGGTATTCACCACTGAACAGTATTGGGTTTTCTGGACATCATGTGGTTAAAGGTCAGATAAAAATAACATTGGTGTTGTAAGCACTTATTTACGAACTTACGCGTTAAGAATAATACGTGTGTTTACAATGCCTGAAATTATAGCCACATATGTAAAAAAGTATAATTTGATATTGAACAGGTGTAATTCTACATAAAATAGGTACAACACATTTTAACAATATTATTTTCTATGGCGCGTTTTAATATTAAATCAACGTATTAGTTAAAGATATGAAATTTATACAGGCTACTGTTTAATCTGATCAGGAACCCTGCTTAGTAAGGATGTCCTTATATATGTAACTTATGGTACTAGCGATAACAAATATGTAAATCATTATAACTTACCATAGGAATTTATGATGTAAAGATGGGTCAAGTAATCAAAACGAAACTTAATATTGCTAACTGCACTAAACCTAAAAGTATTATAACCCGCTACAAAGTTGTGGGAGTACGTAAAGAAACATTAAGAAAATTTATATGCAATCATTTCCGATTTTATTTGATTAAATTACACTTTGTGCGTATGTTTGTTACACGAAGATAAGAAAAGCTTATTTCTTTTTACATTCCCATGTCACTCATACTATTAAGATTTTTATGACACTTATCATATGGGTTCGAGAAACGATATAGGCCTCTCGAAGATCCGAAGAGTTTATTAAAAAATGATTACGAAATTGTTTTCTATATCTAATGCTGTGAATATATCTCACTTCTGTAGGATTATTTTTTAATTATCATCAATTTATATAAACAAATCTCATCCGAATTTCAAAGACTAACAGGGTGTTTCAGAACGATTAGGCGAAATAATATGGCTGTACTTACCGGTAGGGACAATCTTTCAACTTTACTTGTTACATGCGTATATTATATATACAAATATTTAAAATAAATAATCGTTAAATTCAAAAATAATATTTTAAAAAAATTAGAACTAGATAAGTTTTTAAAAATTAAGACCATTCACAATAGGTTCATCCAGAGTGACATATAGTTAATATATAAATAGTTAATACATAATATTTTCCGAATTAAAAATACAAATGGAATAATATTGTATGTAAAAGTTTATACATAAATAATGTTACAATAGTTATTTTAATACTTTATTGCTTGAGCATTTGAATGTATAATACATATATTATATGCATTAGTAATAGAAGTTTACAAAACAGATATGTTTAAGTGAAATTTTCAACGAGAACGATAGAACTAGCAAACCTTTAGATCAATATTCTAAAAACAGCCCTAAAATACCTTCAACATATTATTTTTTTCCTTTTTTTGGCCGAAGTCTTACATAATAGTAATAAGTGTATGGTCCTGCAAACAATTTAATTACAGAAAAAATCTTAAGTACTAGAAACGAGAGCCTTTGAAAAATTTACAATTGCCTTTCGTAATTGAAAAACAGCAAAAAAAAGACAAATAGAGGACACAATACTTGCCTACAGCTCTTTGAGATTTTGTTTATTTCCCTGTGGTATTTATTAGCATTTTAATGTGAGCTAAATTAATATTTAGGAGGTATGGGGAGGCCAAGTCTGGAACAATCAACCGCAAACAAATATTTTTAACTTTTTACCAAATTCCACCTTAGATTTAATCATACAGCTATAAAATTAATTCTCTCAATTTACACTGTCACAATGTTCACTGTCATTTAGAGGCACGTAAAAATCTTAGTGGTAAAGTCATTTTTAGCCTCACAACGAGAAAAACTTAGGCATAACAACAATAAAATTAGTGTTAATATATTTTCACAGAAAACAAAGAAATTTAGCACAAATATCACACACGGCCACATTCACTCGTTCGTTATTGGCAATCGTTCACTTACAGCCTGCGAGTCGGAAGAGTCGGCCGAGTCATCGAGGAGGCGACTCAATTGTTCGTCGAGGATGTGATGGCGGCCCTCCTTTTTGGTGTCGTGGGGGAACTCGTCGTCGCCGGCCATCAAGCCCTCATCTAAGTATGAAAACGAATCTAGATTTATGTCGGACGTGGAAATCGCAGTGCTGTACACGTCTATCCGTTTCTGCTGACTTTGTGCCTCCGCTACTTTTTGCGTAAGCTTCGCTTTCGCTTTCGACAGCGCCTCGGATTCCGATTTATCGATTTTAACGTGACTTTGTGTATCGGGTTTTTGAGATTTGAGAGACACGAACGAGGAGTCGTTACTCGACGAACCTTCGTCCTGGAGTTGGCTGAGTAACGTCCTCGTGGCTAACGAGAGACGGCTAGCACCGCTATAAATTTCGCCAGTCATCCCTAAAAATGGCATTAATATTACTTTGGGACCTCTCATCGCAAGCAGCGATCGACAAATACATTAAATAATATTAAGAGAAAGTCACTACTATGTAGTGACTGCAATGTTTTTTGTTTGCAGTCCATAATATTAAATGTAGATCAAGAACATAACTTACCTTGCTGAGTGTCTTGTTGTATACTATCTTGCGACGAATGTTCGCTTTTACTCTTCGAGTCTGCCATATATTCACCATCACTTTCACTAGACATGCCAAGTTCTAGGTGTATTGAGTTCAACTTGTCATCTTCATTCTTTTTTTGAGATGGAACAGGGTCCAACTCCATATCCCAGTCTGTTACTCCGGGCGCATTCTTCACTTCAATTTCTTGACTATAGTTTGACTTGGATTCAGTTTTGTGTTCAATATTTAGAGGCATTTCTGAATCCAAACTGCTAGTTTGACTATTTATTTCTCCAGACGAGTGGCTATCAAAAAGTACAGGTGTATCTGGAGTGATTATTGAACTTGTCTGTTTAGTATCTTCAAGTCTTGTTATGCGACTGTCTAGGATTTCTGACATAGTTGTAGATTTAGCAGTATGTTCATTGTTTAGCTCTAATACAATAACATTGCCAGGTTTCGAGGCTTCCCCGTGCTCAGATTTTGCTTGTAAGAGTTGGTTTAGATTTTTTCCCATAATAATTTTAGACATGTCGCTACTATTCTTTGATACCTTAATCGTCTTACCGAGAGTAGCACTTTTTTGGACAACTATTAAGTTTCTTTTGGTGTTTGCGGGTCTTATTATTGGGTTAGTAAGTTTTTGAGCAGTAACCGGAGTGAGACCTTTCACAGGAACGATATCAGCTAAATTGGCAGTTTTTATTGGTTCGACGCCCAGTATTTTAGGATTACAAGCTGCGCTAACGATAGTGGGTTTCGGTGTAGAAGCGCCGGGATTAAATTTTGATGTAGGTATAGTGTTAGGCTGTGAGCTGACTGAAACAAGTTTCATAGCCGTGGGGACGCCTTTAAAGTGAAACATTGGTGACTGACCTTCTTTACTCGTCTTTGCTGGTAAGACAACCATTTTTTTTCCAGAATTTGGACTCAGCACAAATGTTTTTGCCGATACCTTTAAATCTGTAGCTGGGATTCCTTTAGGAGTGAGAGCTTCAGATGTAGGTGCTAAATAGTTATTTGAACTAATAGGCGTAGAAGTTTTCATTTGTGGAGTTGTTGATGAAGATGTAATCACAAATTTGGGGTGTGAAATTCTGGTATCCACTGTAGGTTTGGATACTACTATCATCTTATCTGTTAATGATTTAACAGCAGTTGTAGGAGTTCTGGCTTTAGGTATAGACCCTATAACTTTTGTAGCAACCAGTTGTCTAGAATTCAATGCCTTTTGCGTAGAACTTGGTGCAACAACTACTTGACGATTGCTTAGAATTTTTATATTTTCGTTAGACTTTTGCACAACCTTAAACTCGGGCATGGGTAATTTTTTCTCAAGTTCCCGATTTTTTACTACTTGCGATGTTTTATTCAGCGTATGTTTTGAGATAGGTATGCTTTGAGCTTGCAATGATTTTGGATCATCTTCAGGATGAGTGTTTTCAGAAAGACCTAATTCATGTGGAACGGTAGCGGGCTGCGTTAGCAGTTGCATTGTTGGTGAATCACTCACCATACCTGGGGATGATTTAACTTTTGGTTTAAAATCATCTACAAAGTCACCTCTATGCTTATTTGTGAGAATAGACTGTGCGTAGCTCGCTTGGAAGGTGTTTGGTGGTCCAGAATACTCCATTTGCATTGAAACAGCATTGAGCTGTTTTGCAGACTGTGTTTGAGCATCCTTGAGTTGTTGCTTTTTCTGACCTCGAGGTGCCCTAGGCTTATGTGTTCTATGTTGTTTTTGCGTACGGGGAGCTCGAGTTTGACTCGATTTACTTGTTGAAACCTTGCTTACTTGATTATATGAGTGTTTCGATTGACTTGAAGGTTTACCTGATGAGATATATATCATTAGTGGAAATTATAAAAGAGGCTGACAACATTAAAAAAAAATTTAAAACCATTCATGGCTCTATACTTACTGATAACTGGTTGAGAATACTTTGAATAAACTTGTGATAAACTGAGATGCTTCTGATGCACATTCACAGGTATGTTCCTCTTTACTGGTGGGAACGTGTCATCAAAACTTTCAGTGACTTTTCGTTTTCGGCATATAATTTCAGTGTCCCAAATCTAAAATGTATGCCAATAGTAAATTAAAAATAAATTAATAATCAATGCCAAACCTCCTGTTATATATTTATTTTTACAATTCCTCTACCATTAAACAAATAAAATAATATTATATTACTTCTTTAACAACATACCTTACTAGAATGATCTTCTGTAGCAATGGGAGGATAAATTCCATCCATACTTTCATTACATTCCAAAGCTGATTCTGCAGTTTCTGGATCTGGTATTTCTTCCACTTCCGTTACAGGAGTTACAAGTTTTTCTGACTCAATTTTTTGTTGCACTTCCTTGTTTTGAGATGCAGCTACTTCAGCTACTTTATCTGCAATTTCTGTGTACATAGTTTGTGCTATGCCACGCGGCAAAAGAGGAATAATGCGACGACCTTCGCTGATCCATGCTAGGCCTGTATTTGGCCCGGCTATTCTGTAATACAAAATTGTTGTATTCCAATTACAATAAGACTCCATTGTCTCTGTTTTATTTTGCGCTCTTTTATTTCAATCCAAGGATTACCTATTATTATGCAGTAAACAATGAAATACCGGTTGTACTGGAAGTCTATGGGGGAGGCCTATGTCCAGCAGTTGAATGGTTGAATTGAAACAATGAAATAGAACAATTATCAGAATTAACCAATAGAAGACTTTACACATATTTTATTCAGGAGACAGAAGCTGGTCTTTCTACTAATGCACACAGTTATTAAATTAGCAAGAAAAGAAATGTAGAATTCAACCAAAAACAACTATTAATACTATTTGTATATGAGTTACAGGTGATACAGGACAGAAAGAAGTTTTAATTTTTTTTTTAATACATATATTGTAGTTAGAACAGGGCATTCCTATACAAACCAGTCCAGTCCAGGAGTATTACTAAAACACAAAAGGAAATATACTATGTCCTAGTTGAAATTCCGAAACGGGGAACAGGCTTTGATTTGAATTGGAATTTTATATGTATTTTTTTGTGAGAAATAAAATATATTGTAATTTCTAATAAAAAAAATGTAAAGGTAACACCTAATTTTTTCCTATATCTAATAGCATTTTTGGCAGTTATGTATTTTGCTCTTCTTTTATGGAATTAATTATACTTAAGTGGAGTGTTAGTCTATTTAAGTTAAAAAGTTATTTACAACAAAACTTTATCTATGTTATCTTTATACAATAATACAAAAACTTGTTTATTATTTTGAAAATTATTGTGTCCAAACAAAAAGTTTAAACAAAATTTCTATTTGGAGTTACATCTAAATAGATCTTATTATAAGTTAGAGAAAACTTGAATAATAACAATTTTGTTTCATTCACAGTGAAATTAGACAGATATACTAGCTAATCTTTACTTCTAATAAAAAAAAATACTTATCAACACTAAGACTAATTTAGGGTAGTTAAGTGTTATTTTTTATTATTTTTAAGTTTTTCATCTTAGTTTATCATCATTATTAGTTTTTGTTAATTCAAATTCAATACATTCTAAATAGATACTGGCAACGATGATTTTTTATTTGAGTTGATTTCAGTAAGTCATATTTGACATTGAAATATAACTTTTATAAATTTATTTAAAACTACAAAATGTGTTATATAAAATAACTACATATCATATATAGTATGCAAACAGTATAGGTATGTGAATTACCAAACTCTATATGGCTATGAACTATATATTAAGAGTAATGACATGAAAATGTAATGGTAAATTTATCTTAGAAAAGATGTCTTAAACTAGTGTTCAACCTCTAAATTAATCTAAACTTATGAGCTTTGCAAAAAGTGCTCAGCCATCTTTGACTTGCTTAGAGTAACTCTTTCAAATAAAGATTGAGTTTTATGCAGTCACTTAATAGAGAAATGAAGCTTACTGCTCTGCTATTGTTGCTAACAGCTCATCGTTAGACACGCGTCGTGCTTCAGCACTGTGGCGATCGTGGCTTATATGCAAAACGGCGCGTAGATCTTCCAGCAACTTTTTTCTGTTTTCTTCTAACGCACCTTGCGCTCTTAATACACTTATCATATTCGAGTATGCTTCCAATTCTATAATAACAATATCGATAAATAAACAGAACAACAAAAATAATCAAAGAATAAGTAATGTTGGGCACTCAAAAACCATAGGAGGGAAAACGAATGCCAATTATAAAACTAAATATATACCAAGTCTTCGGAGCGTCCGCCGACATTCATCGCGGGTCATGTTTAGGAGTACGGGCCACATATTTATTCCTTTGTCGTAAACACGATCAAATCAATGCTGGATTATATGATTTGGACCACATTTCATTAAAATATCTTACTGGCAAATATCCATACCTACTGTTTACTTCACTTCAAACGACAATTTTGTACAATTTGACAATTTAAGAATTTACGGATAGCTTACACATTGTCTTTGGATTAGGGTTGACAGACCAAAACTATAAGGACGGTGTTTTGGTTTGATGAAGAAATACAAATTTTAAAATACCTACTATAAATTACATCAGTACTTTTCACTAAAAATAAATATAAGATTTATTAAAAAAATATAAAGTGACCTTAATTATTTCTGTTATGTTGGTGTTGAAATATTTTTTTTTTATTTGGAATATTAACAACAATAATATATATAAAAGCAATAAAATACGCATTGTGACTTGCGTTATGGTATTAAACTATAAAATTATAGCTGATTTTTGCTAGTTTTCTATAACGATATATAAAATGGGCATAGTCTGTAGTATTATCATTTTCTAGTGCAATTTCAATCTATGTACGTAATTATTGTCTACTTTCATTAAATGCATGCTGTGGTTAGAAAGCATCAACTCCAGCTCTATGGGGTCGCAATACATTACAATACACAGTCTGTGGTATTTTCGTATTTGAATTTTTAACGTTCAAACTTCAAAGTTTAATCTTTAAACTGAAGTTACACCAAGAATTCAAAACACCGTTAATATGTACTTTATAATAGAATTGTTTTGTTTACATATTTAATAGTATGATTCTTAAGACTTGCGATATTACCGTCTTTACCACAAAAGTTTTATAGCGTTGTCAAAATGACCGATGTTGATGAAATAATTTGTTACATAAAATCATTAAAAAAAGGATTTGATAAACAACTATTTGAGAGTAAGATAGAGGATTTAGCTTATGTTGCTCATAATACTGGCATAGAAGATGATGATTTTCATACGTTATTTAAAGTATGGTTGAATCTGAATATTCGTAAGTTTCCTATCTGTCTGAGTTCATTATATTTTTTGTTGCTTTTAAAATGTTAGTCATTAGTGTGAATCTTTTACAGCAATTAGAAAATGGATAAGTTTAGGTACTTGCATTTTACCTCAAGACAATGTTGGACAAAATACTATAGAATATGCATTAAGGTGGCTTCTAGCAAACCAACTTGATCAAAGTTTTTATCAAAGAATTGGCTTTCTTTTAGATTGGTTGACAGGTATGGTTAAGAAATGTACTTAAGTTTTATTTCATATTCAGAAGGTAGTATACAATTTAAGTAATACACTTATTATGTATTTGTTTTTTAAAACTTCTTGAAATCTTGTCTTACATTATGCTTAACACGGTGTACATTGATAACTTATCCTAGATTAGCAACAGCGCAGTTATTTATAACTAATTTTTGTTTTCAGCTGCAATGGATTCCGATTCAATAGACATGGTAGCATTAGACATGGGATATGAAGTGTTCTACAATTTTCTTTCATTTGAAGTACTAGTACGTCTCAATTGTTAGATTTTGTTTTAAGATCTTAATGTATGTAAAACTGTATAACTAGGGATCAGAATTTAAGTAATGTAATAAAGTAATTTATCTTTTTTAGACTCCTCATGTAATTAAACTCATTTATGTCCTGACAAAACCACACGATGTTACACGACAAAGAGTAATTCTGCTACTAGATCATGCAAAAAAGAGAGAAGTAAAAAAGGTAATAATTATTAATTACACTAATTGAATATGATGGAAAGGTGAACTCTAAGTTTTATCTGGAGTGAAGATAAAACTTAGAGTTCATTAAGAGCCCATAAATATCTTGATCTATGGCACTATTTTGTTTGTGATTTATAACTATCAATAAGAGCCAGGTTCTTAATTAGTTTAGTACCAGACTTAGTCCATGCTTGATTAAGGACACTTCTGCTACTAACTAAGGGCTGATATTAACATGTGGTGTATCTTAAATTCATCTTTAAAGATTTACCAAACACAGTTACAGTTTTATGTTTAAAAGTGTCTTCTTTTTATTAATAGAATCTACTGCGACAGTTGCAAGTAATAATTGGGCTTTTCAAAACATACAAACCTGAATGTGTCCCTGAGGATGTACCGTCTATATCTGTTCACACTGTTTTTAAGAAGCTCAATGTTGGCCTCCTTGAAGGATTTCATAAATGCCAGGTATTAATTTAGCTTACATTGTGATTAGAATAAGGCATTGCTATTATAATTATCTCTATATTTGTTAACATTCTTCACAACCTTTTCAGACTCGAAGAAATAACAAAAGAGCAGAGAAGCAAAGGCTCTTATGGATAAATCCAATGAATATGGTAAGTAAAAATTAATTAATACCCTGAGCACAATAAAATTATTGATTGTGGTCATTAATCGTCAATAATTAATTTAGTAGTGTTCACGATTTAAAACCATTTCTGTTTCTTCTACAAAATCATAGGGTATATATTTAATTAAGTGAAAATAGATTCTCTAGTAAAAATTTCATTGAATCTTTTTAGAAAGACACCAATAAAAAAGTATTTCCACTCATACCGAACATGAAGTTTTTGCACGTTGGATCTACACAGTATAACCAAAAGGAACCGGAGAAAACTTATCTAGATTTTTCTGAGTAAGTAATAATGCTATTATCCATCTCTTGTTAATACTTTTTCAATGAATTTTTACATTTTTACCAACTCATTATGGCTGTTTTTTAACAAACCCACCTAGGTATAAAATCAAGATCAAGGGTTTTTTATAATAATATATATGCGTAGCTGTTGTGTTCATGCTTTTATTATTTTATTTTCAGGCCAGTATCACTACTACAGTATAGTTTAAATCATAATATGTCTCGCCCTACGCGCCTCCGTACTTTGCTATGTAATCCAACAGGGCACACACTGTTATCACTGACAGATCAGCAACAGTATAGTTTTTTTATGTACGATTTGCATCACATACTCTCTGAATGTAAGTAGTTTTAATTCACATAACTCAAGTCTATGATATATTATTGGCAGAAAATAACAATTATACTTGAGTGTGTATAGCATTTAAATAAAACACTTTAACGGTTTAAAACGTGACTTATATTTGTTAATTAGCTTATTTGAAAATTATTATGACTACTTTTTAATTTGACATCAGAGACACCCTCCATCTTTATTCTCCCCTGAACACAGCTGCTGTAAAGCATCTGAATCGTCAGGCCGTAGTTAAAATAATTTTAACTATTAAATATCGCGTTTTAAACTGTTAGTGTTTTATTTAAATGTGTACTACTCGCGTAAACTACAGACAGTATTTTGTTTATATCATTTTCTAATTATATAATATATTAATACCACTTAGGTTTCTTAAGTCAATCGCCTCACAATTACGTTGAAAAGGCAAGCTTCTTGAACCAGCTGGCTACATTCCAGTCTACCTTGATGCAAGGATTACCTGTAGTCACGAGATTCTTGGCTCAACTCCTACCGTTTTGGAATGAATTGGATTATTTTCCGGAGGTAGGTGGTCAACTAAAGCGAGTTCACGATCATCAATCACTGTTGAAATTTAAATGTTTGGTACAAATGCTTGTAGATTGTGGATCATAATATGATCGACATACACCAATGGCGTAATATCGCAGGTCGTGACGTCACAAGCCATATTGTACCGTTATTCCGCAAAATTAGCGTTTAGGCGCGCGATTTAATGTTGAATTTTGAGTTTGATATATTTCAGCATATATGTAACAGAATTAAAAAATACATTTTTCTAGGGTTCCTTAATATCTACTTAATAATATAACGTAAATTTAAAAGATTAGTCAAATAGGCTGTTCGGTGGTTGGTACACGACGAATTGAAATATCTTAGTCATATGCCCTATCTAAAAGCAACGGGATAAAATAAAAATAAATAAATAAAATAAAATATGTATACTTTAATTTCTATAAAATTTTAAAAATTATTTAGATTCGTCAACATTTTTTTTGTTTGTCTGTCTGTTTGTCGTGATTCTACAGAGTGTTCAAAGAGCAATATAACTGAGAACATAAAAATACAACTAATGCATAGCTTATTACTTTGTTATATTCTATAGATAATGTCACTTCTGGTGTGGGTGAATGTGGAGAGTCCAGAGTTTGTTGAAGAAATCTTTGACAAAATCTCGAAGATTTATTGCAGATCACATCCAATGCAACAGTGCCTTATAGTGAGGGTGTTGACCTCTTTGTATGGGAACCTGGTACGTCATACGATATATTTAACTTTATTTGAACTTCTCAAAGTAGCTTGTCGACTTTGAGTCTTCATTTCTATTAGTGTTAAATGTAGCCACTTGAGGCGCTTTAAAAGTCGGTAGCGCGTTCTGGAATTTCGATCACAGTCTAGTCATGTTTATCTAATTATTTATAACTAAGTTTTTAACTAGATTAGTAATTGTTACATATTGCATAGTTTATATTAATACAAAAAAATCTTCTCCATTGATTTTTGTGAATTTTTATTGACATACAATATTTTCAATTCAAGATTTATACAAGTTCAAGACCATCAAACTGTTTCACATTAAAGAAACCATCAGAAGAGAAATTTAAAAATGTAATTAGTATTGCTGGGTCGAGTATAAGCGAAATGTGTTGCAAGGGGATGCAAATCAATCCAGGTGAGTTATGTATTAGAAAATATTCCGAACGAACTAAGGCTTCGTACTAAACAAAAAACTACAGAAAAAATCTAGTTTTCGTTAAAACTTCAGATGCATGGTATGGTATATAATATTGGGACAATATATAGGTTATATATTGTCTCAAATTTCATCAAAACCAGTTAAAGGCTAAAGTAATATATAATCTGGCACTAAATAAATATTTATATCATAACAAATTCCTGAAACTGTTTTATTGAGTACTCTTAAGATATAATGACCCTAAATGGATAAATAAGAAATCCACAGACTGAAACCTAGACCCGATTAAACTTGACAGCTTTTTAATCTGTGGATCGATATTCTTACCACTTATTTCCAGATGAAGTCCAACATGATTCAGAAATATACATTGATTTAAGACATAGTGGATTATTGGCCGTACATTGCTACTAATGACTAATGACTAATCTATACTAATATATAAAGCTGAAGAGTTTGTTTGTTTGTGTGAACGCGCTAATCTCAGGAACTACGGGTTCGATTTTAAAAATTCTCTTTGTGTTGGTTGGCATTTAGAGTTTCCGAGGCGTACGCTGCAAAAACAGTCCAAGATACCCAAAAAATATGCATGAAAGAATGATTCCTCTTTACATGATCTAAAACAAAGTCCGACGCTATATGTCTATATTTAAAGATTTACTAGTAAGAACGACAGGAAGGGACGCGACCGACGTCGTGGCTAACAGCTTAAATAACTATTCTACACGGACGAAGTCGCTGGCCCAGCTAGTAAATCACAATCGTTGTATTTTTCAGAAGACATTCGCATAGTACATACTAGCTTGCGAGCGCTTGTATCATGTGCTCAGAGTTCAGAATGGATCGGCCGAGGTATGAGTGTTGGTGCGGTGCCCAGGCCGTTCCTGTTGGCACTGCCTCTCTTATCAAAGTGTGCGATACTACTTGAATCGCTCGCTGAGTTACTGATGAGGTGAGTACACTCAAGAATAGACGGCTATTTATGCTGAAATTTTAATTATGACGCATCACTACATAGTATACAACAAAGTCGCTTTTTCTGACCCAACGGATTTTGATGCGGTTTTTTTAACAGACTGATTTATGAAGAAGGTTTTCATGTACGACGTTTTTACTGTAGTGCATATTTGAGTATTAGCATAGCACCCAACCGAAACCGGGGCGGGTAGCTAGTTAATAATATAGGCAGAGAGGTTTAAAGCAGGCTTGCAACGACTATTCGGTATTCGACCTTTGCTACGTCTTTTACACTATTCGGCCTAATAATAAACGAACGAAGGACTGTAATTTTAAAAACAAAATATTATTGTGTTTCTGTATTTCTCTCTGTAGTTTTTAACATAAGCTCTCATTATCCCCAGATATAAGCTCATCATATCAGCATACAAAGAAAACCACGGCAAAGACCAGATTTACATTGAACGAATGAAAGTACTAAAGCTTTACTCTATGGATTTTATAAATTGCCTTTCGGGACAATTTCTCAGCGGACGCGAAAGGGGATTTGTTTTTTCTAACCTCCAGCCCCTTTTGATTAGTAAACTGACTAACTCGATACCCAATGTTGAGGAAGAATTAACAATAAAGAATCATTTAGCCTTCGCTCCATATACATACATGAGGATACAAGGCACTGATCGAGTTATTGAAGAGACAATCGTTCATGAGGCTGTGTATCAAGAATTTGAACATTTAAACAACTTTGTTACTTTGGCGACATCGAGGTAACATTAATATTGAATTGTTAACTTATTATTTGTGAAGTGTCTACAGAATATGGATATCCGATACTTAAAGCCAAAATAGATCGACAGCCCATCTTGTGTTGATGTTATATGGCTGGAGTATTTCACCTCCCATCAGGTGAACCTCTATATTCAACAAAAATCTATGATTTTACTTAACTTGTATATAAACCAAATTGATGTCATAATGACGTTTGTATCCATTTGCTTTATCAATTATTATTTTTGTATCGAGAACGCATATTGTATAAGTAGCGGCACGGATCTTTAGCGCTGAACGAATCCTGCGCAGAAGTCAAAAATAAGGTATCGAAGGGGCGGAAGCGGGCGCGGGGCGAATAAACGTCGTGTGCGCTAGCGTTGATTGGCTCCCCAGTCGTGTTGTCTTTCTCGGACCAGTACGAGGCTCTGCTTGCTTTTTGAGTACAGTCTCGTTTTCCTTGTACCGATGCGCAACTATCCCCCCTACATTTCCTTTAGTGCTAAGCATTAGTGCTGCGACCTATATATAAGTATTAAAAAGTGGGGTGTTATAATGAGTTAATTTTTAGCGATAAGTTTTTATCATGCTGTAGCATTGTTTTATAGGCATTAGATAAAACGATAATTGAGTATTTGTTTTTGTCAAGTAGCTTTGCTTATAATTTATAAACATAAGGTATTTTTATGATTATGTAAGGCTGTTATTGGCAGAGTGGCCTAATGACAAAAACATGGTTTTCAATAAGGAAAATTACAATGCGCAATTAAGTTAGGCGAAAATGAATTTGTACTATTATTTGTGTTAAAATTATGTTAACATTTTTCGGTCACTGTACTCTTGAAGATTATACAGATAACATTTTTAGACTATGACAATATAAATAACACTGTCATAAAATTGCAGTTAGGCCACTCTGCCCCTAATTGCCTTATATTATGTTTGTATATATTATATAGTACCTACTGTTCTCAATATACGTTGGTACTCTCGTGAAAATAACTAAGCTTATTGTAATTATTTGTAACTTATTTTTACTGCCTTTTTTGGACTATAATAAAATTAAGAATGTATTAATAAATAGTTTTTAATGGTCAGAGTTTTATATACAACATTTCTCTTTCACGTATAAATAAGGATGAACTAATCTGCTAATTCAATGTGACAGTTGAAGCCTAGAAAACCCATGAGTTCAGCTAAATGTCGGTAACGAAATGTAAGACGCTATGCCGCTACCGCAACGGAACTGCCACCGTGGCTAGAAAACGGATACACAGTTAGTCTGCCTCATCAATACTAATATATAAAGCTGAAAAGTTTGTTTGTTTGAACACGATAATATCAGGAACTACTGGGTCGAATTGTAAAATTATGTTTGCGTTGGTTAGAACATTTATCGAGGAAGGCTATAAAACATCGCCCTGTGACTAATAGGAGCGAAGAAACGAGGGAAATTATTTATTTCTGTGAGTTGCCGGTGCGCACCCTGCGAGAACACTCAAAGACACGTCACCCAAATATAAGTAACGAATAATCTGTTACATCACACAGAGTCCTTATATAGTGGAAACGGGATTATACCACTTTGCAATTGAACAAATAAACAGTGATATTTAAAATGTTTTGTAGCCTAAAATATAATTCAGATAAAAATATTTTAAATTTTTATTTTAATTTTAATTTCTCTTTTTCTTTCACTTCCATCTCCTCAAGTATTTGCCTAATTTTGAATAGTGAGGGTTCGATAGTAAAATTCGTTGCCTAGTTTTTGTAGAGTTAAGCTTAATGTCCTGAAATCGAATACCATAAAAATAAAACATATACGGTTAGAACAGAATAGCAACATAGGGTCTAGAAGTTTGATCACCTACTAGGCTAATTTAAATTTAGATATACATAGTATAAAGTGTTTTTTTTTTACATATACCACTGCTGCTGTTTGCAGCATCCAAAACATCGAGCCGCAGTTAAAATAAGTTTAATTAATGTATTTCGCGTTTTAAACCGCTAAAGAGTTTTATTTAAATTTGTGGTACCTATTGAGTTTTTTAATATAACCGATCGATAAAACGGACACAGGAATGTATCTGTTACGCTAAGCAGGGGAAAGAGTTTTCATACGAACCCGCCAATTATAACTGTAAAACCGTTCACGCTTCCTTCATCGCAATTTCACTTTTGTTACTTATTTTTCCATTTCCTCTCCTTACTGATGCTCATTTATTTTTCGTGGTCCGCTCGCTAGCATAAATTATGGACACCGCGGCTAGAGTGCCACCTTGAGTAGGGTTGCTAATAATAATCTGTTAACAGCTTGTTATTTATTTCAGCTTTATTATTTATAGCACATAACACAATACAAAAAATATATAAGAAAAATCTTAAAAGTAAAAGGCGGCCTTAATCTCTAAGCAGCGATCTCTTCCAGGCAACCTGAACTACAGGAGAAATAGGATACGGGTCGTAGTAATAAGTGAGCTATAAAACCGTGTAAAGTAATTTGACTTTTAAAAAAAGAAGACTCTCAATTCTAATTGTATGTAATAAGTTTTTTCGTAAATAAGGTCGGTTATGAATTTTTCTTTAAGGGTTGTGAATTTTTTCATTTTTTTTTTACTGATCATATTTATATAATAACATTACAAATCGGAACAAGATATTAATTTGAATTTTTAATTTAAGTAACTCAATATAATGACCATGTAAACTTTATGTTTTTGTAGTTTATTATAAGTTTATAATGCATTTGCGGCTAAAATTTTAAGAAATTTGTGTATCGTCAGGAATAACGATAATAATGTTTGGTTTTTTTATACAAAAGTAGGACTCCGCAGCCCTTAACGGAGAAGTGGGGTAGCTCCACCCCCGGCGCTTCAATGAGAAATGTTTCAGGGACTTTTGTCCCTTATGCTCCTTTTTGTGAACGATATCGTTAAGGATATTGTGTTAATCGGACCCTGTGATCTTCCACTGACATTTTTACGTTTTACGGAAAATATGATTCATTTGACAGATCTACGCATAATGTTATGCTTTGTTTAAACCAAAACAACGTTACAATAACATGTAAAATGTTTTTATCATATTAACTTATTCTTTTGACTTGATTTCTTTAACTTTGCATGTAGGTAGATTGAAAACATAAACTACTATAGTAAGCAATTTTGTGTAATTTTAGAGAATCAAATCGCTTTAAACCTTATTTTTAATTCATAGTTTAGTGAACAGTAATAATCATTTATTAACTTCAAATAAAACGTTTTTGATTGTTTAAAATGACAAATATATTAGTTTACAGTATTTCGGATGCTGTATTCCGATGAACACGCGGTAACAACAAACACTTGTTAAAATTATATTTACGATTAAAAATTATGTTTATGTGTGATTGAACACGCAACATGCCGTGGTCTCACGGTCCGGCTGAGCTCTGAAAATATGAGTAACTGCTAACAATTGATAGGGGACCGTGCGAGGGGTAAAGTAGTTGATATGGCCCTTTGTGATCGCATTCCTTTTATCCCTTCTCAAAAATCGCTTGAAGTTTTCTGTTTTCGAATCTACTCTACTGATCTCCTTTCCCCTAGGGTCGACGGAGTGATGGTTTTATGTAGCGTTTATGTTTTGTTTTCTTATGCTAATTTTTAAATCCTTTTTATATAGATGAAATAATAATATTCGCTGTGAACAATTTTGCTGAAAGTGGGAATGCATATAATTTTCATTATAATTACTTTCAACACTATAAAGGTACATTATGCATGGCAAATTGTAAATGATTTTTTAGTTGAAAATATATAGAGATTGGGAAACTTAGAACTAGAAAAAGAGGTTTTATCTGTACAATATATAATATTCTACGATTACGTATTGTTTCGACATAGAGATCTAATGCATGCTTTCTTTAAATAACTTTATCTATGTCTATAGATACATTTGTTTAAAGCTTAGACTATTAAGCTTCATCTCTAAAGGAACGTCTGTAGTTGAACTAACTTTGCATCGAAAATAAATAATTCAATGCGCTGGGAAAGCAACCCGCACCGAGAGCATAAAACGTTTAGCCTAAAATTTCTGCAAGACGGTCCCGGGCTGTGCCTCTAAATAGCTCTTTAAACAGAAGCGTCCGGGACGTGTTGGTGGATGTCAAAGCTCTCTAAAACCCCTAGATCTGCAAACACGAGCGTTGAATCGCGTTAGTGTGGGCGAACTCGGTGGCTGTCTGTAGCAGAATCGATAAAATTCGGGTCCGCGCCCCGTCGTCATGACAACCCTCCGGCTCGCCCCCTCGCATCTCAGGGCTCGAGCACACCGATGTTGACTTAGACGGATAGGGTAAGAGGCTTATTAATGGTTTTATGTTACGCATAAAACGAGTTTAAAGTACCTATTGGACTTCGCAAGCCATACTCTTCACACCCGTGTACTTTTAATCCACCAAAGAGCAGAATGTAGCGAAACAATTCTAAGAAAACCGTACAGCCGCTTCGGCAGACAGCTTGACGCCATTTTAAATTAAGTTTTCGTGCTGTAATTTGCTGGTTTTAAGGTTTTTGTTACAATCGTTTCTAATTTTTAGATAAAAGTTTCTACCATACCAAATCTTTGAGCTTCTTCGAAACTTATTGAAGAACCGCCATACCATAATGAAATTTAATCAAAGACTACAAATGTGTTGAAACGTTAAATAACGATTACCCATGTACTACATAGAATATTTACTATATAAACGCTTTAAAAATATGATTGTAAATTATGTTTCATTCTATTCGTTCGTAATTCGCTACTGTATCAAGGGGCGCCACTACGCAACTCGACGGGGGCGTAAAACTTTCTCACTCGTAAACCCTGTTCACCTACTGAGCTTAAACATTTCTTTGCGGTTCGGGATTATTCTGTGATGAATAAGTAAATTGCCTTTAAGTGCAAACGGATTTATGGCGCGACACGAGAGAAATGCTGCTTCTGTACATCCACCTTTTAAACTACCCGGGATAAATTCT